TTCTGCTTCTGAGAGGTTCGGTTTCTGCTCGTTTAGTGCCTTGAACCACCTCCCACTGGGGTGTTGGAGCAGTGCTGGTGGTGTAAGGAACGAGGGTGGGACCAAGCAGTGTGGTCTGAGCCTGGCTTGTTGAATTGCAGCCTTGCTCTGCCCAGTTTTGAGGTAGGGGCCTCACTCTTTGGATCTCTCCACAATCAAAACATTGTTGCTCTGAGGCCAAGGTATCTATTTTCTTCACCACATATTTTGGGCCCTTCCTGTGGTGTTGCGCCGTGCGCACACATTACCGGCTTGTTTGAGGTGGAAGGCAATAGCAAGTAAGTAAAATGGATCTTAAGTCCATTTACAGGTGTAAGGGAAGTTTCCTTCTCATTAAATTCTCGTAATTTATGAGGCTTCTGGTTGCACATTGATCTCTTTTTCTCAGTGTCAGCATCCTCTGAGCCTAGCACCAAACACAGCAGCATCGTCTGTCTTTGCACATAGAGAGGTAGGGGAAGGAAGCTGGTGTGCAGCCTGCTCACTGCTTGCACTGAGGCCAGCTGGCTAGAGCAGCTCCTGGAAAGTGCAGGATGTGGCCCTTCCCGGCACAGGAAGGCTTAATCCTGCTTGTGTGTCCCTGGGGGCCCTGGCTCTGTGCACCGTAGCAAAGGTGAATGGTGGCTGTTTTCTCCTGCAGCAAAGAAAGAAAAGATTCATGGGACTGGCAGGAAGGCAGCTGAGTACTGCAGGGGGTTTCTCTCCTTGCAGTGGACTCTGCAATTTTTGCACTTAAATACAGAACGTTTAACTTAAACTCTTCAATGCAGAGTGTGCCGATGGTGTGTGTGCTCTGCAGGTGGCTCAGGGCTTGTATTTGATCCCATGTTCACACCAGGTTTCAGGCATTTCTCTAGCCCGTGACTCTGGTGCACCAAATGGATGCTGTTGTACGTGTGCCGCTACAAAAGCCTGCGGAGAAAGGAAATTAGCAGAGCTTTGGTTCTTGTGCTAGCAGTTGTCTCTACTGGGTCCTACAGCACACGGCTGTGCTGCAAAGCAGTAGGTTGTAAGATGGAGACGGTGCTGGAGAGCTCGCGTGAAGATGAACAGCAGAGCTGCTTTCAAGGAGATGCTGTTCACTAACCTGCTAGAAATGCCTTTATCTGGCACTTCAGTCGATCACGTCCCACACCTGCTAGGTGGAACGAGCGCCCGTCTGAGACCTTGGTTCCACGCTGTCTTGTCAGCCAGCATGGGTGTTTTAACCCTCCTGTTTGTTTGAGGGTGTTTGCTGTCTGGCTGGCTAATAAAGGACGAGTTTTGGGGTATTTTTCAGCTCTTCAACTGACAGAATTGCATTTCAGGAGCTCTGTCTGGGAACCCAAGAAGGGTGTGACAGTGCTCAGTGCCCTCCCGAATGGGCTGTGTTCAGGAAAAGGGGGGTGATCCTGTATCTGTCAGCCTTTCCCTGCCCTGGGATGTGTTGTGGTACCCACTGGAGCATGAAATAAGTCCTGTCAGTTTGTTTCTGACCTCATATTAATGAAGAAAATTGTGGCAACCATGAGAAACTGCTGGCCACACTAATAGTCCTGCTTGTGGTAGATTGCAAGTGTCCACAGACCAGATGAGCCCCGCCAGGCTCCTTTTACCACCAACTGCTGTGTGAAAGGGACCTTCCTCGACTGCTTATCATGGGAACATCCTTTATAATTGTTCCACGTGAGCGAGAGAGGAGTGCGGCAGCCGTCAGTTAGCGGGGATGGATGTCTGTTTTTCTTTCTTCAGGCAATGCAATCTCTCAGGAAAGCAATTTCTTCCTCCTCATGGTGTCATTTGCCAGCCAAGGTAGAGGAGACTTTTGATGGGGCAGAACGCTGTCGTGCCATCGACTGTCCTAATTCATTAAGATTCCAGCGGCGTTTTCAGGAACTTTTCTTTCCTCTTTTCCCTCTTCCCATCCAGGCGTACATTAAGCATTACTTTTCTGCAATTGAACACATTGACTTGTGCGCTGTGTTTCCTTCCCTGCTGGGTTCTTTTTGGTGGCAGCGGGCAGGCTGGGGGAGCAGGTCCCCCCCAGCAACCAGTGAGACTGTCCGAGGACTTTGCTGTACTGCCGTGCGTAGCAGTTCAGCCGCATCTCGGCATGCAGCGCGGCCTTTGAGAGGCAGCGCAGGGGAAATATTAGGCTTCCACCATTTTCTGTTAAGTGAATAATGACTGGTACAAGCCTGAATGCTGGTGAGCCCGCCTTAAAACCTGCAGCAGCAGGGAAGATGCTCTGATTTCCAGCGGGTTGGGCTGAGCCTGGGATGGGAAGAGTCAAAGAGAATTAGCTGGTAAATAAGATCTTCTGCCTTCTCTTTGATCTGCTCTACGTGTTCAACTGCTTAAAGGCTTCCCAAGCAAGCAGGATTTTGGGGGAAGGAAGAATTTATCCACCCATAGACCATCTCATGGCTCTGTGAAATGCACAGCTGCAAGATACTCTAGCAGGGGGCTGGGAAGAAATCCGAAGGTAGCCTAGTAAATCCCTGATAAAGAGGCTTCTCTTCCTTCTATTTGCTGAACAGACAGGGCAAGCTTTAAAACTATTGTTGCTTCCTTTTTTGCTGCCGTGTAAGCCCCTCTGATCAGAGCTTTAATCTAGCTAAAGTTAGTGGACTTAGAGATAGCCTGATCTTTGCATCGTAGCATGGAATGAGCAGGGTGATCTGGAGTGCTGACACCTCCCTGGGCAGTGGTCGCCCTTAAACACCCTCCTGTAAGTGCACAGAGAAAGCTGGGGCTGGGGGGGGCCTGCTATAGTGGTGTTGCAAAAGGTTGCTTTTGACTTGCTCAGATAAGCCAGACAAAAAGCGAAAAAGAAAGGTAAGAAGGGGTAAAAGATCAAGGAAGAAAGATACTAATAGTGGCAGTAGATGCTGCAGGTTGACATGGAGGTGCTCAGGTTTCAGGTGGGGTGAAGGTGGAGCCTTGCTGCCCTTATGTCCCTGTAGCGTCCCTCAGGAGCTTCCTCTGGTTTCTGTACTCAAGTGCTGTTCCAGAGAGCCCTGCCTGAAGGAGGGTAGTGGAGCTGGGAGCATGCAGGTTGTGGTGTCTGCGGGAGCCTGGCTTCTGCTCTGGTTTGTCCCCAGGCTGCTCCGTGACAAGCCTTTTGATCTCTGTTCCCCTTGCAGGGAAGATGGGAGTAACGATGTCTTTGGTAAACCACCTTGTGCTTCTGTCAATAGCAATTGATGCAAGATTTAGGGTTAATATTCCTACATTGCAAAACACTTGTGTATGTTCTCTCAAGCGATTCCCAGCACGTTCCTGCTCCTGGAAGAGGCCACATTTGTGGTGCCCTTTTATTTGGGCAGAGAAGAGACATGCAGATAAAACCATTTCCCATCTCCCGAGTCCAGCTACTCTTGCAGCTTGGGCCGTGGGCTGGAATTGTGTGCCTGGATAATCTGGTCTTCTAATTGCCACCCTGCTTGGAGGCAGCTGCTGAACTGGACCTAAGCTGATTTGGGATGGCAAATTCTGTTAGTTTAATTCTCAGCAACACTGAGGAGCTCGTCAGCATGTGAGTATCCCTTGGCTTTTTTCTAGCCGCGAGTGTGCCCTGGAGACCTTTGCCAGCTGGTGACCCCACAGCAGTTAGTTTGCAGAGTTCTTGGCTGTGGAGAGGTTAGATTTGTAAGGGCTATTTACTGACGGTTCCCTGAGCTCTTGTGTCTCTGAACGCAGCTTTTCTGTTCCCTTTTGATGCTGTTTGTACAGAATAGTGGCATCTCATTGCTTGGGGCTTCTTAGCCCTCAGTGTTACCACTCTCCCCTTTCCCCATCTCTTTTCCAGACTTGGTAATATGTCATTAGCTGGTGTGGGAGTGGGTTATTGCCTGGTCTCAGTAACCTTCAGGTCCCAAATGGGTGTGCGTGAAGCCAGTGTGACCACCCTTGCTGTGATGAGGCTCCTGTGCCTCAAAGCTGTTCTGCTATGAACCCAAACCCATCTCACATCTGCATGGAAGGTGTCCTGCCCCCGGGGAAAGGTATCAAAAGTTCCAGGCCCCCAAGGAGTGACTTGAACCATAATATGGAAAAAATGTGGGAAAAAAAGAAGAAAGATACATTTTTGAGACTACTTCTTTTGCAACTCCCTCCTATTGTTCTAAGAGGTGTTTGTCTGTCTTTGAACCTGAAGGAAGTTTTTCTAGCCTCTCGACTAGGTAAGTTGAAACTCCATGTAATTTCTCAGCTCACTGCATATTAGGCAGTGCCTGCGATTAATGAGATCACCGTCCGTATTCCTTCCTCTGTCAGCCTTTCAGAAAAACGGTACTTGGAAAAGTACACAAAGGAGATGAAAAGGAAGTTGCTTATGAATTATGAACAGCCTTTCAGGCTGATGTTATTTCATGGGGCTGTCACTCCATTTTAATTAAGTAATTCAGATGGAATGATGCTTTTTTTAAAACCCTGTTTGTGTTTGATCACCTTTCAGAGGTAACACTTAGATAGCTCATGTTTGTTGAATTTTCATTTTCAAGTAACAAGAGCGGGTGCTTACTGCCCTTACTGATTAAATAACGGAGAAGGAAGACACTGCTGCGGCTGGGCACGAGACACAATAGCCACGAGGCTTTACTCTGCCCATGTCTGGAAATTAGCTGGATGATTGCTTGGACATTTTGTGGCTGGTGTGAAAGATGGAGCTGCTTGGTTGGACCCAGTGATGAGTACCAGAGTGTGCAAATCCAGGCAATATCTCTCAAAGCATTACACTCACCTTCTGCTGAAATTCCTCTTTCCTCTGTTTTCTTACCAATGTGTGGCTAGTAACCCCCCGCACCCAGCTGCAAACAGATCTGCCAACGTCTAGTTTATTTTGGGATTTGTGCATATGTAAATTGAGCCATTAGTTCCCAGACTCGTGATCCCTGGAGCTGCACAGTTTGAATTGCTGCAGATCGAGACTCTACCTCTTCCGCTGTGATCGGGGGTAATCCCGTGGCCGTTCAGAAACGGCGGCTGTCAGATTGTGTCCCGTTGATCCTTGGGCTGTGGTTGTGGCCCTGCGTGTTGCTGGGCCCGTGGGTGAGTAGGGTTGCAGCTGCTGACCCACTTTCCTTGGACGGGCATCGTGGGAGCACTCATCTCCTGGCACCAGAAGAGTTGTGGGGATGTGTTCTCCTGCTCCTTTGTGACAGTGCTAATGATGTCGTCTGGCACAGATTACGCAAGGCTGAGCACCACCGAAGCACAGCTGTGTGGTCCCCGGCATCTGCTTTCTTCCCCCTCCGCCACTGGGCCACTCTCAGTAGGGTACGTTGTTTTCAGCCCTGGTTTTGTTTACCTTTCATTGCGAAGAAACCTTTTGCCAAGGGATTAAGGCTTCGGGCTGCCCGACTTAATTTGGGATCTAAATCTTCCCAGGCGGAGAGTGCTGGAGGCTTTGTGCGTGGTTTGCTGGTGGTTAGCCTGAGTGGCAGCAGAATGAGGGCTCTGCTGTGTCTTTGTGCTGGTGGTGATGTGTCCTGACTGTGCTCCAGAAAGGCATCTGGGGTGCCTGTTCACTGGCTGTGCAGGAATTGCTGCTGCAGACTGGGCATGGGGCTGTGTAGCGCCATGCGGCCTTTGGTCTGCAGCGCAGAGGGGTCACCAGGCAGGACAAACATGCTGCTTTACAGGAGAAGTTCCTTTCCAACACCTGGGGCTGGTTTATGCCCTATAAACAGGGCTTAAATGTTCTAGCCAGGAACTTCTCATGTATTTCGTTCATTTATTGATTTAATTTTCTTTTGTAATTCCGGTTTGCATAGGCCTTCCCTGTTCTCCTTCCTTCTTTATGAAATAGTATTTGTAGCCGTTGTTGCAGTTCCTCTTGGAGGAATGATGCAGCAGTTGTTTCGTTTGGACCAGCTTTCGCGTGTGTGGGTTGTGCAGGGGTGGGGGGTTGCCGTGAATTGAGCAGTTGGCTTTACTCTTAACAGTACCACCCCAGCTGTGCTCTAGTAGCTTTTACTTCTGCTGTCAGACCAGAACAAGCCATTTTATTGATGCCTTCAAGCCTAACAAGCTATTTAGAAAACGTATTTGCAGGATGGGCAGCGGAAGAAAAGCTGTGCTTTAATTTCTGGCTCAGTTGTTCTGGGCGCTAATGCAGGATGGTGTCAGGGAGGTGGCTCTGGTGTCTCGATTCACGATCAGTGCATCTTGCAAACGAAGCAAAATCAGGCTGGCTGCGGGCTGGCACAGAGACCTTTGTCGGTGTTGGACAAAAGGCGGTGTGTGGTTTTGCAGGCAGTGTGGGAACCATCACATAAAGCTGATAGGCTTTACTGTCAGGTCTCTGCAACCTCCTGTGAGAGGGGTGGTGTTGCTTTCAGTATTCTTGCCAAACTCCACAAGGAAAATTATTTTCTTTTCCTCTTTAAATGTCTTGTGGACCTTGAGCTGACTAATATCTTTCACTTCCTGACCTAAACTTCAGTGCTGTCGATGGCTGTTAAAGGTTTGCATCATTTCACTTAAGGCTTTTCCTTACTGGATGTGCAGTCCTGCATGCTTTGGGCTCTTTGGGGTGTAAATTGCTATTTTGGCTTTTAGCCCCTAACATTTTGTACAACACAGGCCTGCAGGGACTGTTCTGGGGCCCAGTTCAGCTGTGAAATGCTGTTCAAACGCTGTGAGAGTTGCTCCTGGTTACCACAATGTTGAGCTTAGCTGGCTGAGTCGTGGAGAAGTGCATCCAGAGTCGCCCGGTGGCCTGAATGCCACGAGCAGCTCCCTCTGCTCCAGCGATGGATCCACGCACACCTCCAGCCCACCCCAGTTACAGCAAATTGGAATAGCTGCTCCTCTCCAGGTTACACCACACCGGTCTAAGGGTGGGGATGGCAATATTCAACTCTCAAACCTGTTGGAGGCTTGGAGCCCACTGTTTTGTAATCCTTTATCATTGGGAAAGCATCTCCAAGCCTGGGAGTGAAATATGCTGTGTGCCAGCCCGCGTCTCATCTTAACACCGTTGTGAATGGCAAAGCAATTGCATTTGGTGGCAGGAGATGGCTGGGCTCTCATCAGTTAAATTCGCCTCTTGGACAAACTGGATTTATGCTCAGGGCCCTAACTAGGTTGCACATACAGAGCGAACACCAGAGGCACTGGTGGGCTGAGTCTGCACTGCCAGAAATCAGCCTGTTTCTCCTGCTCCTGGCAATGAAAACTTTGCCCCCCTACTTGCCTCCTTGTGTGCCTTGTGGCACAGCTCAAAATGACTGCTCGATACGCCTCTTCCCTGGAAAGGCGGGCTGCAGGTTTGAAAAATGCAAGGTTTGGAGGAGCTGTTAATTATGGGATAGGCCGTTGCTTTTTAGATAGTGTCCCTGGTTAACAAGAATAGTTCTGCTGAAAATGGATAACATTCTTAGGAGGGTTTGTGCTTTATCTGTCATGCAGAGGGTGCTGCTGAAGTTTATCTCTGCGCAGCTATCCTTGCTGTAATTATTCATTACTGAACCATTGCTTCAAGGTGGGGCTGGTTTTAGAATTTTTTAGAATATTTTTTCCCCTTAATGTTATGTTTTTCCCCAAGAGGGATTTCCCCTTCCCCCACTTGAAAAACAAATAGGATTATCATTATAGACTTTTTTCAAAATTCAAAGTAGTTTTTCAAATGCACAATTTTCAGACCACCTTTGTTTAAAAAGTCTAATCTAAAATATGCAGTTTTAATAAGGTTTAAATTCTCTTTAGTCATATGAATTCATTACCTGAGTGAAAACCGGAAGCAACTCTGAGACTTTCCCGACTAGAATAAGAAGGGTTTTGCATATAAGTAATTCAGTTTTGCTTCTTGGTTTCAACCGGACAGATCTGTCCCAAAACCGTGTGCATCATCAGTACGGTTTTGACTGAGCAATGCTTTTAGCTGACATCTACGATGGATGAAAAAGAAAGAGGGAAAGAATGAAGTTCAGCATCCGTCGGAGAGGCATAAAATGTCTTTATAGAATACGTTCCTGGTGAATAGGACTGTATGGTTATATGGCCTGTGTATTTCAAATTCTGCTGGGAGAGCTTTGCAGCTTAGAGATAATGGTGGTGGTGGCTCACTCATACTTACCCATTGAATTGCTTTGTGTGCTTAATGTTATTTATTTGCTTATCTGGTGCTGATGAAATTTCATCAGCCCTATTGTAATGGGTTTAAATCTCATCCCTGCCAGGCCTTGGAGGGAAAGCTGTAGGAAATGCTTCCTGAGTTGCATGGGAGGGGCAGCGCTTGTGAGAAAGGCATCTGTTGAGTGGGCATTTCTTCAGCTAAAAGCAAGATGCTGTGGGAACCATGTGGGAGCTGGATCCCCCTCCCTGCCCCTTGGCTCGTGCCAGTTTGAGGAGTTTTTGTTCCTCTCCACCACTGACTGCTGCACACAGTGGCTCAGGCACAGAGTGACTCTGCTCCTCTGCCTGCCGTGCTGCAGACACGGTGGGAGGACATTGTGCTTTGTCTGCTGGGAGATGCTTCTGCTCTCCATAGCAAACCGTGCGTCAGCCCCCAAAATCACCGTGTCCAAACGCATGAGCATCCAGGGCGTTCCGTAAGCTGCAGCCAGGTTTCAGGGGCTCTCAGGGTCCCATTGAGTGGTTTTTGATGGATCTTTGTGGCTTTTGGTCGTGCTTTTTTCCTTGTAACAGAAAAGGCAGCTCTTCCTCTCTTGTCTCTGAAAAATTAATGGCTACATCCTCCCAAGCCCATCTCCAGTCCTTTAGCTCTGAGATGGCTGAATCCTGCCATGCGTGGAGTTCAGTGGGAACGGGGGCTGTCTCTGCCTGACTGTGAGCAGCACAGTGTTAAAGGCCTTCTTGCAAAGCTCAGACAGATAGCAAGATCGTCAGCTTCTCTGAAAAACACCCAGCCGTTTCTTTGTGCTGAAAAGCCCTGGCACTGGCAGGTCAGCGGGAAGCGGGGCGACAGTCAGCCCTGCGACCAGGCGGCCCCGCGCGCCTGCCAGCAGATCCACCGGCCTTTGCTGAATCATGGCTCACTGCTGCTGTGCCAGGGTTGCACAGATGCTAAATGCTCTATTCAGAGGAAAAGTAGAAGATCTTCGGCTGTGTCGGATGCTGTCCATGGAGCCAACAGATGAGCCTCCGGCGGGGTATGCAAGCTCACTAGCTGTCAAGCTAGGAGTCCTCTCTGGATGGTGTTCCAGGAAATTCTTGTCCAGAGGCAAGAAGGGACTAAATGTATCTTTCCAGGGAGACTGGGGGAGACACTAATTGCTCTTCTCCAAAAAACAGGTGGGAGGAAGAGAGAAAAGGAGGCAGAATAAGGAAACTGTAAGCCTCATTTAAATCCAGCACAGCAGATTTGTGAGTGGTTTGCCTCCGGGTCTGCAGTTGGGAAGCAAAGATGTGAATATCCGCAGATGTTTAGTGAACTGAGCTGGGCTGGGAGGACTGTTAGGGACCACCAGTTGTGAGTGGAGTAGGAACTGCTTCTCCCATCCACATTTTCCTACCAACAGACTGGGCAGTGCGTGGGGAAAACTGTACCCAGTGCTCTGTGTGCGTTTGCAGCAGAGTGGTCGTTCTTCTGTACATGCACACACACAAACACACACACACACGAGCAGCACATTTGTGTGTCATTTTACACTCATGTTCATGCCCAAGTTGCTTTTGTGCCCTGTACACTAGGTTAACATTGTATTTTTAGTATTTCAGTGCTAAGTAGACCTGTAAATAATACCAATTGGCAGCCAGATGAGACCAGGATATAATCAATATGATCCTTTGAGCTCTGGGAGGCGGGCAGCCATATGTCCAAATAATTTGGGCCCACCATTTTTGGGGGCAAAAATTAGGTACTTAATCCTTTCCTATTTTATACCTCTGTTTTTATGGGTGATTTCCTTTCGGGACAAGTTCTTGAACTTACTTGGTACAGTTCTGTCAAATGGCTTTGTAGCTGTCTAAGGCAGAAATTAAATTGCATCGTCATCTTGCTAAGGCTTAAAAAAAGCTGGGTGAGAGATCTGGTTACTAGCATTGGAGTTTCTCTTGCGTAGTTCCATATATCCAGTTAATTTATTGCCAGCAAACAAACCCACATGAGTTTGCTTCCTTGCTGCTGGTAACCTGAGCTTCATTGCTGGATTCATTTGCTCTTGATGGTCATGGAAAATGTGCGATTACACTAATAGCTGGTTATTAATCACTGCCAATGGCTGTAATTATATCAGCTATTAGGAAGTCAACTAAAAGCAATGTCTGACCAACCAGCATGGAGAATAAGGAGAAACACGGTCCCCGCTTCACAGAAGCGGATAATGTTTGTCAGTGACTTCATCTCCTTTTGCAGATAAATGCAGAAAAATAACTCTGAATTTTAGCACCTTTCTACTTCCACTCCAGTGTCCAGACCTATTTACTATGCCTTGCTCTGTACCACGGTGTTGGTTTTCTGAGCACTGCAAGAAGGATTCAGGGTTAAGCAGCCGTTGTGCTGTCCTCTCAGACCCACAACCAAGCGAGACCCTCTTCTCTAAGAGTGCCTGGTCCAAATCCATCTCTGTAGAGTCCTGGTTCACCCCTGTATGTCACTTTTGGATTGCTTTTAAGATGATCAGTGTATTGTTACAGCTGTGTATCCCTGCTGGGTGTATCCACAGGGGTAGAAAGGCATCCCTTCCTGCAGCAGCATCACACCTTGCCAGCAGACACTTCTGAGCGACCGATTAAATTGGCAAATGCAGAGTTTGGAGTGTGCAGCAGAAGTACGTCTGCGCTAAGCATGCTGCTCCCGGTGATCACCTGTGACAAAACGGTGGCCGAGCAGTGTCCTGTGTGCACCAGGATGGTCATTTTGCTTGGGACATCTTAAATACCTGTGGAATTTTGATGTTGCAGCTGGGCAGAAGTTGCCTATATCCTTATCGTGATGGATGCAGTGACTGGCACATGCTTTTGCTTGTGCAGGAATAATTAGAACTTCCCCTTGTTCACAAGGAACGTTTGCTCCTTTATAAGTCTTTTATGCAAAATCCATGTTTTCCTTTTGGCTCATGCCGCTAGGTGAATTTTTTCTGTCTTGAGTATGGATTGCTGTGACCTCTTGTGCTGAGAGCTTGGTGCAGCTCTGCTGAAGAGTGGTCTGGCTGGGGCAGCCCTTCTAGATGCTAGTTTGGCATGTTAGCACTCCCTTCCCGCTGTCCTCTACTTGATGACTGTGGACAAAACATGCTCCTGGTGGATTTGGAGGCACTAGCGTTAGATGCTCCGGGGAGTATTTCAGCACTGGTGTGAAACCAAATAGGTAACATGTATCTTGAGCTGTGACCTTCCCCGTGTGTGTGATTTCAGGGCTCATCAGGAAAAGGGAACAAAGTAGATACCTTCTTATAGTGGCTGAAAAGATGGTTGGCTGTTGTTGGCTGATTGCTTGCAATAGGATATTTAATGCTCCTGGAAACTGGCTGACAAACCAAAATCGTCTCGTGGAGCAGTAGATGGGAGAGCATCAACTGGGCTCCAGATGAAGGTGTGTTGTGTCAGGTTTTGCCTGATGGGTGTTTGTTTTTACTCTCCTCTTCAGGTAACTTTGCTGAGAGATGGCGGAGCAGCGTCAGGACGTCACCGTGATGGAGGATCACGCAGCTGGCCAGGAGAAGCACATCCCATCAGGTGAGCACCTCCAGGAGGAGATGGTGTAAAGGACCTGCCTTTCCCACTGCTGAGAGAATGACCTAAGTGGGGAGAGCAGGGCCAGCGTGCGAGGGGTCCTTGGGGATGGCCAGGAGGAGATGGTATGTGTGTCTGGAAGGTTACTGTGGATCAGCTGGCTGCAGCCAGTGGACAGTGGGTAGCCCACAAGATGCTCTATGTTCATAGTCGTAGGAAAATGCTACTCTTTGATATCATTGCCCAGCAAGAACAGAACAACCCCCGGTGTCCAGACTAGTGATGATCTTATTGCTGCAGCTTTGCAAATGTATGTTTCTGTGTTCACTCCTCAGTTTGCTATAAAAATACAGCACTGCTTTTATTTGGAGACAGAGCTCAAGGATGCTGCTTGCTGCCTGCTTTTCTCACCTGCACAGGGAGATGGGGAGAACTGAACAGAGAGCTCTGGGAGCGGGGGCCATGCAAGAGTCTTTCGCCCCATATTTCAGACCTGCATTTCTCAAGAAGCCTTTCCTTTCTCATTCCACCATGCTCCACAATTGAGCTTGGAAAGCCACGTAACACCAGCAAACCTGGTGGGACTCACTCCTGGGTATGCTCCATATAGACATCATCTTAATTTTCTTTTCTTGAGGTGCTTTGGACACAGCTTACACCAGATAAATGGGTTGTTTCTGTCCTGGAGAGAATCCATAGCATCCATTCATCCCGGGTTCTGTAATGCATTCCAGTCTGATAGCTCCTCTCAGCTTGTAGCCTCAGCTTCGCACATCACAGGTTCCCAGGGATTTTGCTTATGTTAGTTTGAATCTTCTTTTCCAAGTAATTTTCTCCAGTTCTCATTAGTTTATTTGCCCAGACTCCTTGCAGAGAGGAGACTTGTGCCTCTTGCCCTGCTCTTCCAAAAGATGACTTTTACAACCAAGTCTTCGCACAGTACGTTATGTGCTACACCAAGCCCTTTACAAAGACTTGCTGGTTTGCAATGATTAGAATTAATGCATCATGGAAGTGTACAGCAGCCTGCTCTGGGAGGGAGGCTAATGGCTCCAGACATGGCAGAGAGGACAACAGTGACTCAGAAGTTGTACATCTTTTCTGCTTACGTTGCTAAGATCTCCTTTCCTGCTTGTGCCATGCTTTGCTGTTTCTAGCTGTCCAGTTCACTGGGCTTTTCTTTTGCTGATGGGTTTCCGCTTGTTCTTTTTGGTGATGACACTGATGCTTTTGGTTGGCATTTTCACGCTTCGCTTGCTTATTAGTTCAGGTGTTTTATACTCTCCAGTTACAGTTTCTTGCTGCTGTGGATCTGGGCAATCAGAGTTCGTAACACACAGGCCATAATTTGTAGCCAAGGGCTTGTTCTAAGTATTTGAATGTTTTCCAGGCTATCCCCTTCAGATACCAGTCGATGATGGATCGGATGAGCCTGTTTCTGAAACATCTGACGCTAAGAGCACCCCAACTACGGAAGGTGGGAGCTCTTTGACTTACTGCTTTGAAACCATGATGGATGGGGTTGTGATAAACCTTGCCGAAAGACTCACCGTGCCGTGTTCTGGTGGGGTTTCTCAGGAGGAGTGCCTGCACTCTTGGACAAATGCTCTTCATTAGTCTCATCACAAGCGATGTTTGCCACTTGGCAGAATGAGATAATGAGCTTTAAAGGTGGAGAGTGGGTTGGAAGTCAAGAGAAGGTGAAGTGTTTATTACAGTTCAGGAAGTTGCTTGTGGTTTGTTTCCTGAAGACGACTTACACAGCGACTGCAAGGTCCCGTTAGCTCAGTGCAGCCGGGAGCAATCCCATGTTGTGTGTTCCCAGGGCCAGAGGTTTGCATCATTGTGCTCCCCCAAGATACTGACAGCACGTCCTGGCCGCTGTGTTCCCTTTCAGAGTTAGCTGTACCTCATAGCTCTTTTTTTGCCCCCTCTGTATTTACATGTTCATTAGTACGGCATGATTCATGCTGGAGTGATGAGGTGGGTAGAGTCTATACATAAAACAAAACTTTGTGCTGATCTAAAGGTCATATTGGTAGGACTCAGGACATGTCTGTGCTGCTTCAGAGTGTTATCTGAATGCCATGTTTGTAGAAAGAATCTAATTCCGAAGTGGTCTAGGCACTTGTTCACCATTTTAATTAACTGCACTTTTTGTGTTCTTCTGGCTGCTTTAATCCCAAGTATCTGCCTCTTGGAGACTTCAGGTAAAGGCATTAGTTTGCAAAATTTATCTAAACGAAAGGTGGACAGAGATGCTGACCGGTTCCAGCCCTGTCCCACTGGAGGTGTGGGCCGATTGATCGTCTGTGAAGCAGCTCTGTTCCTGTGCATGTGGCTCAAGGAATCAGTATGTAAGACCTGGCTAGTGCAGAAGGGGATATTGCTCCTCTTTCCTGTTGGATCGGGACTGTCACGACGAGAAGACATCCCTCTGGTAGACGGAGCCAGGTATCTGTCTGTCTCAGAGCTGCCCAGAGTGCGACACAGTTGCAGTGCTCGGATGGTTTATGAAGGTATCCGATGGAAGCTGTTCTTTCCTGCTCCAGACCAGTGATGTACCCATGCAGATAGCATTGCAGTGCATGCAGATCAGGCACCAGCGGCTGTCTTTAGGTGTGCATTTTCAGACAATGTTTATGATAAAACCTTCAGCTGCGTAAGGAGTACGCTGGAGATGTGTGGTTTGTGTCGCAGAGGGGACTGCTCATGGTGTCCCTGCGATACTGGCTTTGCTATGTCACACTCGGTTGTCTCCCTCCACAAGCACTGGCTCAAGGGAGGGAGTCGGGTGCTTTTCTGAGCAAAAAGTTCTTCGGGCATGTCCTGGCCTCCGCAGGGTTTTGCCACTCAACGGCTATGTGAAAGCTGCGTTGTTTTTCAGATGCCACAGCACCTTTAGTGGAGGAAGGAGACCACGAGGATCAGGGTGGTGTCGAACAGCATGGGGAGATCCCGGAAGGAACCACAGGTGAGGGTGACCAAGGTGCAGTTTCATCTCTTGATGCAGACAGAGCAGAGAGCTGGACTGGTTAGTGCTTAAAAATAACACTGCAAAACCTCTTGCAGGCATGCTTTGCTCCTGACGTGTGCTTCTTTCTTCTTCACGGCCTGCAGAAATAATTCCTAGCTTACAATTGTCCTCTTGCTTTCCTCATCCTGGGGGAAACTCGCAGCCTTTTCTTCTCTCTTTCTCAGCTTCACATCTGACAATCTTTCTATCTGGTGTCTTTGTGGTGACTTTGCCTCCCATCTCCAGGCTAAGCACTTAGCCGCAGATCCCGGTCATCTCTGCCCCTCTGCCAGCAGCCCCGCTTTGGTGGTGAGGCGAGGCGGTCACCGCAGGACCTTGCTGCTTGTCTCACTGGTGCTCTTGCTCAGTCCAGCCCATGCGGTTGTCTTTGAAGCGGCAGGTGAAAACCAGGCCACTGCAGCAGTTCTGTGGCTGCCGGCGCGTTTTAAAGATAATGCAGAGGAAATGAAGTGGCTAATTCAGCGTGAATGCTCTGTGGGGAATCACGGCACCTGGGCCTGGTTTTCCAGGGAGGTGTGGGGGTCTTCCAGAAGCAGAGTAAGAAGGGAGTGAGCTGCAGCAGTGCTCTGTGTGTACAAGAGAGCAGGAGCTCCTGGGAGAGTCAGGTCTGTATGTGAAAAATGAGTACGTGTCCCCTGTGCGGTAGCCACTGGCTTTTCCTGGAAGCATCAGGCAGGACCTGAGAAAGGTAGTGGGTGGAAATGGGCTTCTGCCAATGCCCGAATGCTGAAACAAGCCCACACAGCACAGTCCTTCGGGCAGCCAAACTGTCTATGCTGCATCCAGTCCCCAGGCTGCTGGCGGAGAGAGTGGCTCGCCTGCTAGCAAGGATGCACAGTCTCTGGTTCAAGATCTGACCGTACCAGGGAGCTGGGAAGAAGCAGTGTGTCCTGAACTCTTCGGAAAAAAATGGGGAAAACAAGGAAAGTCCTAGTTTGACTGTAAAGCTGTGACATACAAATACAATTGATTAAGCTGGTTTGAAAGTAGTCATATAATAAATTGAAAAAATTCTGATAGAGACAAACCATCATTGCTGTGAAGGAAATTGTGCTTCTCTAATGTACCAGTATTCCCGAAGTGTCACAATTATATCAGACTTGGATTTAGTGGTGTCAGATAGCCTCGGCAGAGTTCATTACAGTAAGCTAGGTAGTAGACACCAAGAAGGTAGGGCTCAGGTAAGAGTTAGACATTCATGTGAGTGCTGCCGGCAACATAAACACCAGGTGAGGGTAGAAGAGGGATACAAATCCACAAGTTTCCCTGCTCCTTAACAGCCTGTTTTCTGCACCTCTGGCTGAAGGAGCTTGTACTAACCTGCCACCCAGGATGTGCGAGTTGGTGAAACACTCCTCCAGTCTGGTGCAGCAGAGGCTGAATAGATCTACCTAGATCCATCATCGGTGTGGGTTGATTGCCTTTCTGATACTGCCCTGCTCATAATACAGCGCTGATGGGCAGAATCAGCAGGGAGGTAAATAAATTCTCCAGACACACACTTAAACTTAATTCTTGTTTTAATCATGTTTTTCCCCTTCTTTCTTTGAACTGGGACCAGCTGAAGAGGCAGGCGTAGGAGCCACCCCCAACCTGGAGGATCATGCTGCAGGAGATGCTGCTCAAGGTTAGTGAATCGTCTGTCACTGGGGTCCAGTTATTGCTGCCCACATGTGCGGCTGGTTACTAGTGGCTTGGGAATTTTCTTCTGTAATGCAAATGCTCTGCACAGTATGAGCAGTTGTGCAGTTCTCCCTGTTCCTGACAGGGGAGGGTCATACATGCTTTGAATGTTCCGACATACTCATTTCAGGGAACTGCAGCTTTTCATGCACAAATTTCTCTCTCAGATGGCTGAAGCCCTGGTGCTTGTTTGTCTGGTTGCAAAACAGGGCATCCTCCAGGCTAGAAAATGTAATAAACAGAGCTGGGATGGTGCAGTTAGCCAGGAGGAACTGCTCAGCGTTGAACAGAGTCAGTTTTGGGCCCTGCATGTCACACGTGAAATAAGTGAATTGTTTAACTCTAATTACTGTGTCTCTTTCTAACGTAAACCATGTCTCAAACCTACTCACTGATGTCCTGACTTTAACATTAAGGGTGTTTTTTTCTCATCCCAGTCTTAGGGAATGTGACTGACAAAGTCAGGCACGGTGGGCAGTGAGCGTTTTTAGAGCATTAAATGTGCGTCTGCTCAGATGAGTCAAGAAATTATCCAGGGACCTCTTGGCTATCTGGAAAGCCTCTCTTGACTCTGCTCCCTTCAGACTTGATGGAAAACTTCAAGATGGGATTTTCCCAACGCACCCAGTGCTAGCTTAATTCTGTGCCCAATGGGGCAGACTTATGGGTTCAAACTCACTTTGATATTGCTGTCTTGCTAGCACTAATACACCATAGCGCTAATTTGGTGCGCTGTTTAAAATCTTAGTTAAACCCCATTTTGTAAGGTAGTTTTCTGCCCAGTAGACATAACAAATTCCTCCAGTTGCTTGGGCAGCGTCTTTCCTCCTCATGGCTGCATTAGTGCATTTACAGACATCCGCCTCTTTTAAAGAAGTAAATAGGTCTTTGCCTTCTCAGCTCAGGGCAGAATTCAGGTCGTCTTTGCTTTCCACACACAGATGGGCACAGTTATGTGCAGTCTGCTCCCTGCAATTAAAATAAAACCTTTGCTTGCCTGTCTAGTGGTTCTTGGACTAGCAACTCTTCTGTATTTAAAATAGTGGTGCCACTACAAAAAAGAAATCAAGATTGTTAGCAGGAGGGGGGTGAAGTTCTTTCTTCTGTCTGCCCTGTTCAGTCTGGTTCTAGCTGCTTTTTCTCAGCAGATTTTTAATAAGACCTTTCTGTACTGTCCTGGGATCTTTCAGCTGTCAGGTGTGGGGACATACAGCTAGCTGGAGCTCTGATATAACCTATATATGACATTTCTAGGTTCTTATGTAAATTGTTACTTCTCTGAAAATGGACTTGTAATAATCTGCTGCTTCCTTTTAATGGTTCTCTTTGATTCGGAGGAAAATGTGATTATCGATACACACACAGTCTTGGATGTCTCGTTACTAGCTACCTTCATTTTTCGTGTCGTGGGATTTGAAAAAATGATCTTTGCAGTGAAGATGGAGCGTGTTAAAATGCTTTTGAAGTCTCAGGTGGAGAAACGTCTTCTGATTCACAGTTTGTGCTGTGCTGGCATTCTGCCAGCTCTTGACCTTGGGCTGCACATTTGCCTCAGAATCCCCGACAGGTCCTGGAGTATGGAAGCACAGCTAATGAACTGACCGTCCACATCTCTGCACCGCCGGTCGTTAACGGTCATGCTGTTTGTTTGCAGAAGAAATGAGCCAGGATGGTCTGCTGGCTACTGCATAAACACCCTTCAAATCCCTGTGGTTATAAAAGGTGTTTCTTGATGCCACATTTCAAATATTACCTGCCAATAGGTGCCAATTTAAGATTTCTCTTAAACCACAATTTCGGAGGTCTTTGTGTGGTAGTTTCACTTAACCATTATACGCTCTTAAACGGGGAGAACATTGATAAAAGACCACATCAGTCTTGACGACTTTTCTTGTTTTAATCTTGTTTGTTAATCTAACAAAGCAACAATTGAAATCTCAGTACTAAAGTGCTCTTTAGTTTACCTGCTCAGTGCTCAAAAAGACCAAAGAGTATTTAAAGCTGGACAAATTCATAATATAAGATGCACATTCTTACTAGGGCATTGACTTTAAAGCAATTTACCTATGTTCAGGGTGAATTCTCTGTTGTTCAGTGCATCTTAGCTTCAGCTGAATGAATTTCTAACAGAAAAGCTCCAGCTCAACTAGAATATATGGCTTAATGCAGCAATTGTTGGGTGAAATTGTAAAGGTCTGTGTCATGCATGAGATCAGTGATAGAACAGAATTCTCGCTTTTACCCCCCCCCAAAAAAGAGAGATCTGTGTCTCTGTGACCTTAAGTTTGGGTTTTAAATGTCACACTTTCTATTCTGCCCAAATAGTGGCAGCAGCACTGGAGCTCTGATTAGCCTGAGTGGGTGCACAGTCCAAAATTGCTGTGGCATGTGGCTGCAGCCACATTTTCACTTAACAGTCCTTTCTACTGAGGCTGTCTGCTCCACTGGCAGTTGAAATACACAGCAGTAAGAGAGGAGACATAGGAGTGCTCATTTTGTAAGCCCGTGAAGGAGGAGAGGGTGTCTGGCCTGTTTTGTTCAGGCCCTTGAGGCAAGAAGAGGTGGTCACTGACCAGCAAACTGATGGTCCAGTGGTGGTGTTAGATTAGAAAATGGGGGTGTTCTTCGCTTCTGAAAACCTCTATAGCTAAACCAGCTCATAGAGCGCGGGTGTGGCAGATGGTGGTGGTTGGATACCCTAGCCACGTCCGAGACCGGGTCCAGGGAGGAGTCTGGTCTCCCACGTGCTGTGGCTGTCACCGTTCCTGATTCCCATGGGGATCAGACTTTCTTTAAAGGCAAAAGCCACTGTAGAAGTGAGTTGTCTGTTCAATGGGGCAGTGTGGGACTTGCTTTTATCCTCTAGATTGATAGCAGGAATCCTTAGTCTCTCTTCAGCATTATATGACTGACTACCTATTTGACATGTCTGTGCTAATTGTTTGCCCATGCTTCATGCCCTGCACCTTCAACTCCAGGGGAGCCAAGCTCTCCAAAGCTACAGCCTGGCCCTCAGGAGCGTGTGGGAGATGCAATAAAAAGAGAAAGCCAGCCCACAAAGCAGGTAGCTGGGGTTCTTCAGCAGCCTCTTCTGTCACATGAAATGAAGGCTACAACAGCAGCTCCCACCAGAATTGAGGTCACCATCCCAATACCCCTGGATATGTACCAAGACTCCAGAGCGTCTGAAGACAACGAGTTGTGGGATCATCGAGGCAGAGAAGGCATTGGTGTGGATCCAGCGCTGGGAACAGAGCTAGGTCATGGTGTGCGCGCTGAGGGGTTGGCAGGAGCAGGTGGCACAGATGACTCCCATATTAAAGATGGGCCATCTCCTTCTTCATATACCAGAGCTCCATTAAAAGAAGATGCCAGTGGACGGGAAAGAGATGAGGACCGTGATATTGATGAAACTTCTGAACAGGATTTGCTTTCCCTGGTGGGACAGCATGTTTCACCAGGACCTGAAATGGGCTTGTGTCCAGCAACAGCCAAGGAAGCTCTTGAAGAATATGCCTTTGAAGAAAAGAAGTCCAAAGATGTCCTCAGAGACATACCACGAGAGGCACTTCGTGTTGAAACTGAATCACGTAAAGCAGGAGAGGACCAAGAGGAGAGGAGACAGCCATTGAGGGGGGAAGAAGATACAGATGTCACTCCATCAGAGCCTTCTGAAATCATCTCCCGAAAAGAAGCAGAACCCAGGGAGGGAGAAGATTCTGGACCCTTGCTAGAAACAGCCAAACTCCCTGTTGAGTTAAAAGATGACGTGGAAGACAAAGATGCTCCTTTGGAAGAGGCTGTGCCAGATACAGGAGAACGCCGGACACCCAAGAAGAAACCTTGTGCTCATGTTGCAGATAAAGCCGTCAGTCGCGTACCTCTCCTAAAAGGTGTGTGCAACGTTTGCCTACCCTGAGCTCACATTGCTGGTGGCTTGCTCACGACAAGGCTGCCTGAACCAGTACTTCAGCTTGCTGCCACCTCTCGAATCCTGCTGCTTGGGAAATGGCCTGGACCTTTGCTGTGAACTGATCTACAAAGCACCGCTGCTTCTCCCTTCCCCTCCTTCCCCCTTTAGTTTAATCCTGGATGTCCTGGCATACTTGCCAGACCCTTACGCTTCGGTTTTGCGTCCCTTGCATGGTGCTGGCGTGTCCCCAATCATGCTTTGTTCACTTGTTTTTGTTTTGATTTCCTTGGATCTGTGGGGTGGGCACCTTAACTCACACCTGGCACCTTCCCAGAGAAGACAAAGACCGTATGGACGTTGTTCTGGCATGTTGGAGTGGGGCTAACCCGGCGCACGCTGCAGCTTGTTCCAGCAAGACACGTGCCATCTGGTTTGCATGTGTCCACTGTCTGGTCCAATAACTCTTTGTATTGGCTTTCCTAAAGAGGAGGGAGGAGGAAAAAGGCAAGTGAGATGGCAGGTCTAACCGTGGAAAAGGCCACACATTGGTCCTGTTTCTTGTATATCCCTTAAATATCCGCTACTGACTGCTGTTGGAGGCAAGGTCTGCAGCTAGCGGGACCTTTGCCCACTACAGAGCGTGTCTGATGCTCTTACAAAGCATCCTGCTCCGATCCCGGTTCTGGACGGTGTGTCCCTGGGTGGTCCAACGTGATGGCTGTATTTGGGGTGTTTCGTGGGAGCTGCCTGTGTGTGTGGAGGCCTGGCTTTTGGGTGCATCTAACAACGTGTGTGTCTCTAGGCTGGGCTAGGCTGGGAGGGCTGTCAGACCCTGGAGCTGCTGTGTTCATGCAGCAATCTCAGTCTTAGCTGTCTTGGGTGAAGGTCTGAGTTCACCGCTCAATGCACGAGCATCCCTGCCAGCAGAGCAGCTCTTAGACCTTTTCTTTCTCCAAGAGCTATTTTCCACCTTTACTGGGGGTCAGAGGGATGTCACTGGGGGCCCGGCTCAGTGGCCAAATGCAGGTTTTGCACTGAATTGTGTTAATAAGCTGGGGCAGCAGGACACGTGCTAAAACCCAATGGTGTCTCACCGTGTTGTACCTCAGCTCTGGCTGTCCAGGGCCTGGCCTGAGGGAAGCTCTGCCTTTCACCCTGGTGCCACATCCCAAAAGCTGGCTTGGCTGCTTCCATTAGCCTGGAAATGCTGCTCTGGTTTGCAGCAGAGAGAGTGTGCTCTTTGCTGCGCAGGGTTCCTGAGGAAATTGTTGATGTAGCTTTTTCCATTGGAGCTAAAGCTCATAACATATTTCTCGTTGTTCACTACCTAATAAGCCAGCGGGAAGCTTCGCACGTGTGCTGCAGGGCATTGGCATGGCTTGCTATCGCTAGCATCGGAGCCTGAAAACGATGACCGGTTGGGGATGCATTGCCCAGAGTCAACCAGTTTCTGATTCAATAGGAGGAATTTCTTTAATTATTTAATGGTCTTCTCCTTCAAAGACAGAGATACTTTGTGGCTGTTCAGCTCCAGCCTTGGTCCAGTCTGTAGTTTAACTGAATTTGAGAAGGGTAGTGCATCCAGCAGCTCTGGGAGCTGGGATGGGTCAGGGTCGTCAGTGCTGGATTAACAACATTGTTCATGTCACTGGGAAAGGGCTGACCCCCCAGGGCAAGTTTCCAAAACACTGGGGAGAATATCAGCAGCTTTTCCTCCCAGATTAGGGAGGAATTAGCTGAAGACTGGGAAAAGGGTCTTTGTTATGAGTGCCTTATAGTACAAACATTACTTCCTCCCTGTTTCTAATCTCCTAATTAGCGATACTGCAGTCTGTTGTGCTTGTAGACTAATGGGACAAAACACTGAAATATTGTCAGAGTCACTGTAAGCTTGATACAAATCAAGTAGGACAACAGCTAAAACCTTAAGACCCTGCAGGGTCTGACCCAGATCGAAGGCGCGCTGTCTGCTGGGGAGGCAGAAAGCAGTGTGTCAGGAGAGATGGGAAGTAACAACGGCCAGGTATAAAAACGCTTTGCAAAGCTAACACACTGAACAACAACTTTAAATGAGATCACGGGCAAGCCGGTGCTGCTAGGGTTGGGGCATCCTTCAGTTTTAGTCTTTATATATATGGTTGTTAGAACCAATGGGTGTTTTAGAGAGGGAGACTCATGTTTAGGGTTGAAGAGAACTGTTCTGTCCTACACTGAACAGATGCTACTGGAACTGAGTGCAAATCTGCGCAAAATGGTCTCATACAGACCTTGTTGCGTGTGTCGGACACTCCAGTGATGACTAATGCACTGTTGCCTGTGCACAGGGTAATCTGTTAACCCAGAAAGAATGTGTTTACGATGTGGAAGTATTTCTGCAAGAAACGAGTGACTTTGTAATATTTCTAAGAATAGTATTTAATTTAAAGGAGAGCAGGAACATGGAACACCCACCCAGCCTGCATGTTGCTGTAGCACAGGCATTATCATCTCTCTAGAGTTTAATGACCAGTCCCAAGAAGCGTAACTGTGCGTGTTTCCATTTGTCAGGTCGTATTGACAGCAAAGACAAGGAAGGGACTGAAGCTGAGGAAAAGAAACCGAAGGTAAGCTAAAAAATAAACCCAGAGGTGACGTTAACCCACTAAATGCTGTACATGTTCCTGACTCCCTCTCCAGCTCTCCTGGACTGTAGTTGTGCCTCTTAGGAAACGTTGCCATTATCTTCCATTCTTCCATCTGTCTTTCAAGAGTGTTCTTATTTTTTCTTCCCTCACCTCGGTTTGGATGGTGCAATCCATAGTGGTCTTTGAGGGCGAGGAAGCGAACCAAATCTAAAACAAACATATGGCTCATGGGGTTGGGTGGGTGGTTAGAGAAATCATTTTCTCAGCCCGAGACCGGAAAGCAGCCAGCTGGCTTTGCTGGGGCAAACTGGTGCAAAAGCAAACTCAAAACTGCCTTGGGCTGTATTGGGGACAAGCACCATAACAGTGAAAAGAGCAAGACATGTAATTAAAAAATTAAATTAAATAATCTGGGCTTTGCAGATGCTGTGTTCTGGGTGAGGAATAGAGTTTAGTAGTGGGTAAATTCCAGAAATTTAAAGGTATCCATCACACTGCTAATTTGGAGGAGGTTTAGTTCAGCTGGCCATTAGCCTGGCTAGTGCCTGGGTGAGATAATGGACAAGTTGGTGGGCAGTTTAGTGGGTGAAGAATTAAAGGTGAGGAATATAGTTATTTTCAAACAATGTGAAATTGGGTCTTTCTCTAGTGAGGTTTGGCAGTGTTGTATCAGGCTAGGCATTTGACATGATACCAAGCAGTTGTCTAGGTAAAAACCATCGATCCATTATTGATAAAGCGCAGGTATGATGGGGTTGAGAGACCTGGGAGCAGTCATCTGCATCTCCCAGAGACGCTGGTGTTGGCAGTGCTGTACCTGCAGCATCTTTGCCAGTGGAACACACAGAGAGTTTGGGAGTAAATAGAGCAGTTCAGATGGTAAAACGTGCCACTGGTGTGAAGGGCGGTGGCAAGGGCAGGCTGTCACTTTCCCCAGAAAGGGGCTTGGGTGTTGCTGCACCCTGTGGGAGGAATAGAGCTGGGGTATCCCACGCTTGCTGGTGCAGCCATGGGACCCTGGCAGTGCCCTGGGCCCCACAACTCTTGCCCAGCTCTGTGCTGCAGGGAGAGGGCAGTACCAGCCATTGCCTATCCCACACCCAGTTCTGTATTGCACCTTCTAATCCTATTTAATGTCGGTGATCCCCTTTTGTTTCCCTCCCATACTGATTTTTTTTTTTTGTTCCAATTTTATTTTGTTTCCGTGTTTAAGAAATCCTCACCTTCCACTGCCAAACCCCCAGGCGATAGACCCTCCATCCCCCCCCAACGACACACCTCCTCTAGCACAACCCCTTCGAAAACACCTTCCAGCCCTGCTTCCACCTCTAAACGAGTCTCTTCTGTCACATCCCGACCTGCCAGTACAGGAACGCAAGAAATGAAAGCCAAGGTAAGGAAATGGGATGTGAGAGAGGCAAAGCTGCCTTGGGGAATG